AACCCCAACCCTAACCCTAACCCTAAACCCTAACCCTGACCCCCTAACCCTGACCCTGACCCCGACCCCGACCCCAACCCCAACCCTAACCCTAACCAACCCTCTAGCCCTAACCCTAACCCTCTAGCCCTATCCCTAACTCCCTAGCCCTAACCCCAAGCCTAACCTCAACCCCAACCCTATCCCTAACCCTAACCCCTAACCCTAACATATGCCAAAACCCTAACTAGTTCTCTAATGCTAACTAGTTGTGTAATATTAACATGTTCACTAATACATTCCAGAAGGTCCTTAACATTCGTTAACACAAACCTTAACATGTTCCCAAACCCTAACTAGTTCCCAACCCCTAACGAGTTCTCTGATGCTAACTAGTTCTCTAACATGGAACATCCCTAAGATGTTCCAGACGTTCCCCAACACATTCGTTAACCCTACTCCTAATGTCCCAATTCCCAAACCCTAACTAGTTCTCTAGCTCTCTAACACTAAATAGTTCTCTATCACTAACATCTAACAAGTTCTCTAATCCTTTCTCTAACCCTGACCTTAACATCATCCCAAACCCTAACTACTTCCCAAACTCTATTATCTAACACTAACACATTCATTAACCCTAGCCCTAACATTCCAAAACTCTAGTCCCCAAATCCTAGTTTTCTAATGCTAACTAGTTCTCTAACACTAACATGTGCCCTAACATGTTCCAGAAGTTCCCCAACACATTTGTTAACTCTAACCTTTACATCTTCCCAGGCCCTATTTCAGAAACCCTAACTAGTTCTCTAATGCTAACTAGTTCTCTAATAGTAACATTCCCTAACACATTCCAGAAGATCCCCAACACATTCATTAACATTATTCCTAACATTCACATTACCAAACCCTAACTAGTTCTCTAACACTAGTTCTCTATCACTAACATGTTCCCTAACATTCCCTAAGAAGTTCCCTAATCCTTTCTGTAACCATGACCTTAACATATTCCCAAAGCCTAACCTATTCCCAAATCTTAACCAGTTCTCTAACTCTAGTTCTCTAACACTAACATATTCCATAACATGTTCCACAAGTTCCCTAACACATTTGTTCGCCTGAACCTTAACATTCCAAAACCATAGTTTCCACACCTAACTAGCTCTCTAATGCTAACTAGTCCTATAACACTAACATGTGCCCTAACCCATTCCTGAAGTTCCCCAACACAATTGTTAACCCTAACTTTAACATATTCCCGGACAATAATTAGTTTGCTAACCCTAACTAGTTCTCTAATGCTAACTAGTCCTATAACACTAACATGTGCCCTAACACTTTCCAGAAGTTCCCTAACACATTCATTAATCCTACTCATAACATTCCCATTTGCAAACTCTAACTAGCTCTCTAACTAGTTCTCTAACACTAACATGTTCACTAACATTCCCTAACAAGTTCCCTAATCGTTTCTGTAACCATGACCCTAACATATTCCCAAACCCTAACTAGTTTCCAACCCCTAACTAGTTCTCTAATGATAACTAGTTATAACACTAACATGTTCCCTAACACATTCCAGAAATTCCCTAACACATTCGTTAATCCTACTCCTAAGATTCCCATTCACGAACCCTAACTAGTTCTCCAACTGGTTCTCTAACACTAAATAGTTCTCTAACACTAACATTGCTAACAAGTTCTCTAATCCTTTCTGTAACCGACCTTAACATATTTGCAAAGCCTAACTAGTTCCCTAACATATTCCAGAATTTTCCTAACACATCCATTAACCATGACCTTTATATATTCCCAGACGCTAAGTAGTTCCAAAACCCTAGTTTTCTATTGCTAACTAATTCTCTAACACTAACATTTCCCCTAACGTTTCAGAAGTTCCCTAACACACATTAACCCTAACCTTAACATATTCCCAAACTCTAACTAGTTCCCAAACCCTAACTAGTTCTCTAATGCTAACTAGTTCTCTAACCATAACATGTTCCCTAATGTTCCAAAAGTTCCCTAACACATTTGTTAACCCTACTAACATTCCCATTCCCAAACCTTAACTAGTTCTCTAACTAGTTTTATAACACTAAATAGTTCTCTATCACTAACATGTTCCGTTACATTGCCTAACAAGTTCCCTAATCCTTTGTGTAGCCCTGACCTTAACATATTCTCAAACCCTAGTTTACAAACCCGTAGTTCTCAAAGCCTAACTAGTTCTGTAACCCTAACATATTCCCAAAAACGCTCCAGAAATTCCCTAACACATTTAACCCTAACCCTAACATATTCCCAAACTCTAGTTTCCAAACCCTTACTAGTTCTCAAATGCTAACTAGTTCTCTAACACTAACATGTTCCCTAACACATTCCAGAAGTTCCCTAACACATTCGTTAACCCTAACGTTCCCATTCCCAACCCCTAACTAGTTCTCTAGCACTGGTTCTCTAACACTAACATGTTCCGTAACAGTCCCTAACAAGTTCTCTAATCCTTTCTGTAACCCTGACCTTAACATATTCCCAAAGCCTAACCTATTCCCAAATCCTAACTAGTTCTCTAGTTCTCAAACACTGATGTTCCCTAACACATTCCAGGAATCCCTAACACATTCGTTAACTCTAGCCTTAAAATATTCTCAAACCCTACTTCCCAAACTCTAGATCCCTAGTGCTAATTCTCTAAAACTAACATGTTCCCTAACACAGAAGTTCTCTATTAACATATTCTCAAACCCTAACTAGTTCCTAAACCCTAACTAGTTCTCTTAACTTGTTCTCTAACACTTCCTAACTTCTCTAACCTTCCCCGAGGTTCTTCTTTTTTTAATTGTGATTAAGTGATTACATAATTTCCGGAATTTCACAGTATTGTGGAATATTGATGCTCATTTAAAGTCACAAGTTCATTCTAACTTTCCTGGAGCAAACTGTCTATCACAGTCTGTAACATTAACGGTGTTCACATGTTATACACCATACATGTGATCAGCAGC